TGCGTGGGAGCACGTGGCGGCGAGGCCCGGCCCTGCGGCCGCCGCGGGGCGGGGTCTGGGGCGGGAACCGGGCGGGGGCGGTGTCACGGGCGGGGCGGCGCCGCGGCCGGGGGTGGCGGCTGCTGTGGTCACTTCCTGACCTGCGGGGCGCCCGGGAGGCGGGGTGGAGGCCACACGGAACCGGGAGACTAGACGCGGCCCCAGCGCTGTCCGACGAGCTCCGCTGCACGGAAAGTGTCCAGCGCGTCCCCCGGCTGCTCTGGCCACAGATACGGAAGACGACCTCTCTCCGCATTCATGACCTCTGCGGTTTGGACCTTCCTTGGGTCGTGGGGGCCGGTCTGAGACGTCCCCCGATCCCCAGCATGGACCCATCCAGGTCCGCCGTGGGGGTGGCTGAGCCGAGGCCCCAGTGCCTAGGCTGATTCGGCTGCAGGATCCCAGCCCCTTAAATCCCCCGATGACTTTGAAGGTAACCCCCGTTGCACAGCCTGGAAGGCCAGTGCCCCATCCTAGATGGCCGCCTTACGAGAGAGGTCCTCGGGACTCGGTCCCCGGGCTCCTGCCCACGCTCACAGGCTCGGTGCACAGGTCTCCTCTCAAACCTGCTAGGCTGCACCTGTCCTATGCCTTTGGTTCAACTAATGCCAAATGAACAGTAACCTCCCCACCAGGCAGCACCTCTGTGTAGACTGAGTCAGGCTCAGCTCCTTCAGGAAACACCGATGCAGCCCACCCAGAATCCGTTTGAGAGTCACTTCACTGCAAGGACTTCCCGAGCTACCCTGTGGTTACCATAGGGTAGAGTAAAGGAAACACATCCCCACGCTGGCATTCTGCCAGGGAGACCATACTGCCATATGTGACATAGCTGGGGCACGATTAGAGACAAATAACCTGAGGCATTTGGGCATGCTTAAATTGTGGAGGAGCAGGAGATGTTTCATGGGAAAAGGTGGCATTAGACTGTGGCAGATAATAATAACTACCATTTTTTGAAGACTTGCTATGTGCATTACCTCATGCAGTCTTCTCAGTAATCCTGAAAAGTAGGTGCCATAATTTCTCCCATTTTACAGATAATGAAACTGAGGCTATGAGAGGTGAAATAACTTTCTTAATTTCACACAGATGAGCCCGTTCTTCCATTTGGTTTCCTAAATGTTAGGATTTCAGTGAGTGATAGGGAAGAAGAGAGCCGATGAGTAATCCTTAACAGTTAATGGTTAATGTTTTTTTTTTTTTTTGTCTTTTTCCGTGTCCGGCAACGGATCGCAACCCTCAGTGTTGCCCCCGTACCGGACCAGGACTGGCCACGGGATCGCAACCCTCGGTGTTGCTCCCGCGCCTCGCTCAGCCAGTGAGCAGGAACCGGTCTGTATGTGGGATCCGAACCCTCCACGGGAGCGCAGCCACGCTTCCCAAGCGGCGCACTACAGCAGTGCTCCACTGGGCCGGCCCAATGGTTAATGTTTTAAAAATCACTGATAAAATGAGGCAATACAACGTTGAAAACAGATACAATATCAAATCCATGGGCTCTGGTACTTTAGACTTACTTTACTTACCCTCAGTGTCGCGCCCGCACCGCGACCGGCAACGGGATCGCAACCCTCAGTGTCGCGCCCGCACCGCGCTCAACCAGTGAGCGGACCGGTCTGAGTCCATTCCAATTTATATTCTTAGTTATTCATATGTAAATATGTATGAGTCCATTCTAATTTATATTCTTAGTTATTCATGTTTCATAAAAATGTTTGGTGATATCAATTATAAATTTTGTTTACATGGAAAATTAGTTCATAAGTTCAAAATAGATAAGCTATAACAATGTAAAAATAGCACAATTAGAACTCCGATAACATTGCTTCTCTGTATTATTTCAGAACACTGAGATCAACATTGCTCTACCCATCATAGAAATGAGAATCACTTAGAAACTGTTCTTTTTAGAGAAAATCAGTTACAGTAAAGGGCTAAGAAAAATCAAGTCTCCAGACCTTGATTTATCACTTCTAAGTGTTTTAGAAGGAAGTATCCAAAGAGTTGTAAATAAAGACAAGTGGAAAAAACTTACACAACCCATGATAATTTTTAATCCTTATTAGTATCATTTGAGGTCTTCAACAATTTTGTTTCAATATGAGATCTTCTCTGCAAAAATCACTTCTGAGGAGTTGAACTGTAATGTGTGCTATGAAAAAGCCACTTTTCTGGTATGAGTTCAGCCATGGATTCCCAAGATTTATTTGTGTTAAGAGGCCCTAGCAGGGGATGGCGGTAAATTGTGATTTTCTCTTCTCCACTCTCACTTGGAGCTGACAAAATCCTTTGCCTTGAAGGCTTTACTAAACCATTCATTTTACCCAGAGAAAAAATGTTAGAGGAATAGTCTTTCTTTTTCTTTGATGCTTCCTTTCCTGGGCCATTCCATATTTCAACATTATTTTGTGTCTTCTGTTGAATCTTTTCCTCACCACAAATGCAAGTAATGGGTCTCAAGATCTTTTTCCCTTTTCCAGAAGCACATTTTGATTTAACTGAAATTGTATGAGGTGCCAAGTCCATGCTTTTAGCCCTCTGTAACTTAGCTGTATTCGTGCACATTGCAGAGCTCACTGTATTAGAGCTCTGAGCGCTGTGGTAGTTTAATTTAAGCAAGTATTCCCACAGTGAGGAGCCACTCTTACAACCCTTGGGATATTGCCGGCTCATGCCTTCAGGCCAACATCTCCTGCCCCGGATCCGCTCGATTTCCCTCAGAAGGCTACAAAAGATCAAAAGTTGTCAAGAGTTCATATATACAATATGAATAACCAGAAGCATATTTCTTTTTTAGACATGAAACAGAAACTCACTGCAGGATTCCGTGGACTGACGAATGAGAGGATCCCAGGTAGGTTGCTCGTCTATCAAGTGATCTATACAAATAGCCTACTGCCTCCATCATGACATGATGAGAAGAGTCACTTGTCAATAATTGACCTGCTGGGCATTTGAAAATAAGAATATTGGAATTTTTAAACATTCTTGGCTTCACACATTTTAAAAAGGATAAAAAAAATTTACAAAAGGTGGTAGTGGGGCCGGCCCGGTGGCGCACTGGATAAGTGCGCCGCTTGGGAAGCGCGGTGGCGCTCCCGCCCGAGGGTTCGGATCCCACATGCAGACCGGCTCCCGCTCACTGGCTGAGCGAGGCGCGGGGGCAACACCGAGGGTTGCGATCCCGTTGCCGGTCCCCGGTCCGGTACGGGGGCAACACTGAGGGTTGCGATCCGTTGCCGGACACGGAAAAATGGATCATTACCTATTGTAATATTCTGCCAAAAACATTTAACCTGAGTCTAATCATAAAGAAACAATCATACAGATACAAACCAAAGGACATTGGAGCAGGGAGGGGTGGGTGGAACCTGACTTAACTCTTCAAAATTGTCAATGTTGTGAAAGACAAAACAAGTCTACTTAAATGTTCTAGACTAGAAGACACAACCAAATGCAATGCAAGACCCTCAATAGGATTCTGGATCAAAAAGTAGAGAGATATTGGGCCGGCCTGGTGGCGCACTCTGTAGAGTGTGGCGCTTGGGAGAGCGGCAGCGCTCCCGCCAACGGTTCGGATCCCATGTAGAGACCGGTCCGCTCACTGGTTGAGCGCGGTGCGGGCGCGACACTGAGGGTTGCGATCCCGTTGCCGGTCGCGGTGCGGGCACGACACTGAGGGTTGCGATCCCGTTACCGGTCACAAAAAAGACAAAAAGGAAAAAAAAAGAAAAGTAGAGAGATATAAAGTACATTTATTAGGATACTTGAGGAAATTTGAATATGGACTGTACATTAGATAATAGTCTTATGTGATAGTTAAATTTCCTGGGTTTGATTATTGCGTTGTGGTTATGTAGGGAAACGTGCTTGTACTCAGAAGACTCATGTTAAACTATTTAGAAATAAAAGTGTCATGTTTGCAACTAGATTTCCAATGGTTAAGAAAAATATGTATGAGTCTGTATGTGTATGAAAAAGAGAATGCGAATATGGCAAAATATTAACAACTAGTGAGTATAGGTTAAGGTTATACAGTTGTTCCTTTATACTATCCTTGAAAGTTCTCTGTAGGTTTGAAATTTTTCAAAAAAAAAAAAAATCGAATAAAATGTTAACCAGGTACCACTATCAATAATTTCATTCTCTAAAATTTTTTAAAAGTAAAAAAAAGACGACTAGCCCACGTTAGTTCACTTGGTTAGAGCATGGTGTTGGTAACACCAAGGTTAAGGGTTTAGATCCCCTTACTGGCCAGCCACCAAAAAAAGAAAAAAATAAGTAAAAAAAAAATACTCTTACAATCTAATCTATCATTTGCAAATGATACTCATTTATTCATTTTACCCATTTACAAGACTGTTTTTAAGGGGCTGAATTTATACCATTGATTATAAATGTAAAGAAAGGCAGGTACATGTAGGGCATTGATCTGTTTATGTGACAGAAATTGCTGGGTATGTAAAGACTAAACACACTGACAGATGACCCAGTCAGCATCTCTGTATTAATAATAACAGCAGCAAATATATGTGAGTAATTATCATCCATCAGGACTGTGTAATCCTGTAAAATATAAACTATCGTCACTTGTCTTTTTTTTTTTCATTTATTCTTTTTAACAGAACACACACATGGTTCAAAAGGGAAAATGTATCAAAGTGTAAGGTCATAAAAGTTTCTAGTATATCCTTCTGGAGAATTTTTAGCGCATATTCATTTTATTTGTTTTTTAAAAACGAGAAAACTGAAAGAGGTTAATTAAGTTGCTCTAGTTCATGGTAGAACAATCCTGAGTTGGCCTCATTCCCATGCCCTTGACTGCTTGCTACACTGGGGTGCCTATTCCCCATGCTGGATTGTCCTTCTGAGTATCAGCTCTGGCTTCTGCTCGCTGAGATGTTCTCTCTCTGTAGCTCTGTTTCTTGGGTCATAGCCTATGTCTCATATTGCTTGCAGCTTTTTCTGGAAAGCTGATAGAGAGTTTCAGCTGTTGTCTCTGCTTAGCAATCTGTGGCTATTTTTCTTCATTTTGAATTATTTTCGTGACTCCCTATCATGTTCCCAGTTGCACTAATCTAACTCAACAGAATGCACTTCTGAACTACCCTGTTTGTGATGGCCAAGTTACATTAGCTTTAGCTGGCCTGAAAGGTAGAGAACAACAGAATGTCTCCTGTGGTGGCTATGGTAGAACCCATTTTCAGAGATTCTCTAGAAGCCAATACACAGATCCTGCAGGTGTGACTGATCTGACCAAAGCCTTTTAAGAGGCTCTGACTTGCTGTGGGATTGAGATTTTCACACGAACCAGCTTCCAGTGCCCTTTACACACACCACTTCATGCTCTTGCTCCCTAGACTCCCTTGGCCACACACCTTGACTCTTCAGGCCCTTTCCGCTGGTGACCCATTCTGGACCTGTCCCTATAGATTTGACCTCAGAACCGTCTTGGACACAATCTGATTCTTTCTTTCTGGCAGCAAGCAATCTCCAGGAAAGGACATTCTTGCCTCAGCCCCACCCCTAGTCCACCCCATCTTTCCTGGGAGCTGGTACCAGTTGGGCCAGCCTTTGTCAGTCCTCCCAAACCAAGAAATAGGAAAAACAGAATGGGTTAGTTTAAATTGGAGTGAAGTCACCGAACCTCCTCCCACTTCAAACCTTTGCTCTGGATAGGAAGGGAAACTAACATTTAATTTTATATTCTGTTGATTGTTTTGCATACAACATCTCCTTAAATCTTCAGAATAACCCTATAAGTAGACTTTATTACACCATTTTGGTTGGAAGAAAATTGACACTCAGATAGGTTACATACATACGCCCAGAAAATAGGGCCGGCCCGGTGGCGCACTGGATAGTGCTCCGCTTGGGAAGCGCGGCGGCGCTCCCGCCCGAGGGTTCGGATCCCACATACGGACCGGTTCCCGCTCACTGGCTGAGTGAGGCGCGGGAACAGCACCGAGGGTTGCGATCCCGTTGCCGGTCCCCGGTCCGGTGCGGGGGCAACACTGAGGGTTGTGATCCGTTGCTGGACACGGAAAAAGACAAAAAAGACAAAAAAAAAAAAAAAAAGAAAATAGAACCGGGATTCCAACCCAGATTCCTAGGATCAAAGACCATAACTTCGGGCCGGCCCGGTGGCGCACTGCTACAGTGCGCCGCTTGGGAGCGCGGCGACGCTCCCGCCGGGGGTTCGGATCCCACATACAGACCGGTTCCCGCTCACTGGCTGAGTGAGGTGCGGGCGCAACACCGAGGGTTGCGATCCCGTTGCCAGTCCCCAGTACGGGAGCGACACTGAGGGTTGCGATCCGTTGCCGGACACGAAAAAAGACAAAAGGGGAAAAAAAAAAAAAAAACAAAGACCATAACTTATGGAAGTGGGAAAAGTGAACATTATTCCCCCTGTCACACTGGTTCTGTAGGAGATTTTTCTTAAAAATATAGCTAGGAAGGCACCATCAGTCACCTTTTCCAGGCTGTGCCTCTGGATGGAGCCACACCCACCTTATTTCCAATGGAGTGTGAATTGGGGGTGGGAATATGAGAGAAGGTCCCACCAATTGTCTTGAAAAATCTGTTCCCAGATTTTAAGTAGTAAGTTTTCCTACTCTTCCTACTTTATGTCCAGTGCTTAACATTAAGAAAGTGGTACATTTATTATTTCTTCTGGAAAAAGAAAGCAAGATATTTTATCTAAAGACAGTCCTCTGTCCTTTTAAGTACTCTTCTGAAGCACAACTTTTCTAAAATTTATTCTACTGAAATGTAAGCCTGTTCCTCTTGCTTCATATAATATTTGCTGTCACCTAATAGGTGGATTTTTGCAAGGCAGTCCTGTGTGAGAGATGTTTACTTCCTCCTGGGCCCACCGCAACAACTCAGGCAGTTGTCACCAGGTAACAGTGCAATCTCAGGTTGGCACAGGTCCTCAGTAAGTTTCCCTGAATGAGTCTGAGACTCAGTGGACACTGCCCAACAGTGAACTTCCCCTCTGTGCTGGGAGCAAGTGGGATTAAGAAGCAAGGACAACAACAGCCGATATTGTCTGTCCAGAAGACAGGCTGCAAATTTGTAATGAGGAAGGAGGATTCAGCAGTATCTAAAGGCTCTTTGTTGCAAGTTTATTTTTGTTTGATAATTATGCTGTGTCCAAAGTTTCTTTGTCAGAAATCCTTCAGTTTGAGAAATTAAATTTGTTTACTCATTCTTTCAATAAATACGTGGGTTTATAAACCGATTGGGGAGAGAGCTATCATTGTCCCAAATAAAGTAAAAGGTTGCAATTGGATGTATCCATGGGCCCTCAATTTCTGCCCTAAAGAAAAAAATAAAAGAGGTTGAGGGGTCAACTCGGCTCCACTGAGACCATTGCCTAGCCTGCTCAGAAGGACCTGTTTGCAGCTGTCAAGCAGCGCCCTCTGTTGTCTGCCCCCAGTACTACATGAACTCACTGCACCAATTAAAGGGGCTGGACCTGTGCAGACCCTCACCTTTGTGAAAAGGAAACAGGTTTTTGTCCCTACCACCAAAACTGAAGGTTCCCTGTGACTTCTGTGTTGCTAAACACAATGGTCTGTTCTCGATCTGGTGGTCAGTTCTCAACACTCTCCTTTCTTGGCTTCCATGATTTCGCTGATTCTTAGCCTACCTCTAGGGCCATTCTTCATCTTTTCCTATAACCCTTTTCTCTGCCAACCCTTTAATTATTGGCATTCTCCTAAGTTCTATCTCTTGCTGTCTTCTTGTTTTATATTCTTCTTGGCTCTTTCAACCATTCTACTCGATTGGGCCACCAAGTATATGCTAAGGATTCCCAATTGTTTTCTCCAGTTCAGCCTTCTAGCTCCTTCTACCACCTACTGAATGCCTCCACTCATATAGAAAACTCAAAACCAACATGTCCAAAATGGGCTCATGATGGCTCCCATCCCACCCCCTAATCTGTGCTTCCTATCTTGGAATGGCAACAGCATTACCCACCCAGTTGTGTGGGCCTATGGGATAGCCATAAATTGGGAAATGCCTTTGACTATTCCCTTTCCCTTACCTTCCATATCCAATGAAGCACTGAGTGCTGTCAGATTTACCTACTAAATCTCAAATCCAACCCTTTCTCTCCATTTCTACTATACCTATCTTAGTTTACACAGGAGACTCTCCTGTCTCCCCTCAACCAATCCCATCTTCTATTTGGCCTCAAGAGTCTACTATCTAAAACACAAATCTAGCCAGGTCCCTTAGTGCTGGAAATCCTACAGCAGCTCCCCTGCCAAACGCTTGAGTGTGGTAGACAAGATTTTCCATGCCATAAACTCTGCTGATTCCTCCAACATCACTCCCCAATCTTCCCCATTCTGGAGTTTCACACCACCCTGATTCACCCTGCCTTGCCTTTGTTCATGCTAATCTTTCTTGCTTAAAATACTCTTCCTCAACTTCTTTAAAAAGCAATTGTAAGAACTCACAGCCTAAATCCCTTTTTCTAGGAAGTCTTTCTTGTTGCTTCTTTTATGTGCTTACCCATGCCCTCTCCAATATCATAGTATATATCACATGGGATTGCAGTTATCTTTATGTGCTTGTCTCCCCAACAAGACCAAAAACTCCTAGACCCACAAACAGTGGGAAGGGCTTGGGGTTTGGGGTCAGAGAACTGGATTCCAAGACCTAAGTCTACTACTTATTAGCTGCCAGGTTTTGGGATGTCACTTGCTCTTTGTGAGCCTCAATGATTAAAATATCTTATTCACAGGATTCTCTGATCAAATGTACTCGGGTAAGTCATATGACATATCTATTTCCTCAGCTTTAAAATTAGCTCAGTGATCTCTAGAGTTCCTTCAAATTCTAAGTTTTTTAAGCTTATGAGGGCTATTTGACACTTTCCTGCAAACAATAACATTTACAAATTTCTAACCCATTAAAATGATTAAATCTACACAAGTAAAAAGGAAGCTCTGTTAATACATATGAACTGGCTTACTGCATCAGCCAGAGCCCTCCACTTTCTCTATAAAACATGCCCTCCAATGCCCAGGGCACACTAAATGCCAGCAGCTAGTAGACTCATCTAGGTAATCTAACTATATATATGTGAAATGAAAGGGAGTCGTTTTCTGTGAAAACCAGACTGAATGCTTTGGAAAGACTCAGTGCTAGAAGATGCTAAAAAATTAATTGATGAGTGGGCAAGACAACTATACAAGATCAAGGGGGTGCGGTCTGTGGCTCACTCGGGAGACTGTGGTGCTGATAACACCAAGGCCAAGGGTTCGGATCCCTATATAGGGATGGCTGGTTATCTCACTTGGGAGAGCATGGTGCTGACAACACCAAGTCAAAGGTTAAGGTCCCCTTACCAGTCATCTTTAAAAGAAAAAGATCAAGGGGGAAACAGCAATCTAAGAGGATTCTGCTCACAGACTGCATCATTATTGTTCTCTTCCTGCAGAGCCCAAACCTAGAAATTGTGGGCGATAACATTTTGAGAAAGATGACATCTAATTCCAATCAAAGGACCCATTAAACACAAGAAAAAGAGACCTTGGTTCTACACTAGTTTGGGAAAAGAATGAATATTTATGTCTGAATTAAAATTAAAATGTAAGGTTTGCCCCTTATAACCTGACTTTTGGATTAAGGGACCAACTTGCTATAGATAAGAGGGTTCTAGCTGAGCTGAGCATTTTTAAATTAAATGAAGAGAAGGGGCTGACTCACCCTGCTCAGAGTTTTCACTAAAGCCATGTTTAATTTCTTCCTTCTAAATTTGCCTGAGGGTGGTTGGTTTTTCTTTTTTAAAAGAATCCCAGGGAGAGAGAAGTAACATTATGTTCACCTACCATACTTCATCCAAAATAAGCAATTCAGTACAGAACACTCAGCTTGATATAATGGAATATATGAAAAGCCACATTTCTGTTCTTTTCTCCCACTGAAATGGTTTCTCAAGAGAAAAATTTTAAACACTTATCAAAGAAGGAGAGCAATAAGATTACTCTGAGTCAGAGGTAGCTTAAAACATAAATCACAAAAACCCTCATTTCATAGTCAGGATTCCTACTAAAATCTCTAGAATTAACAGTTTTATTAGATAAAGGTTTGTACTTGAAACTGGATCAAAGTTGAAAAGAGATGAGCAATGTGTATATTAAACCAAAAGAGATTTCATTTACGAATAAGTGCCTCACAAAACTGTGATCATAAGAGGAAACAAAATTTAGGATTTGTTGTCCTCCCACAAATCCATCATTTTAATATGTGCTTACTATAAACTCATGCATTAAAATGTTGTAATTATAATTAAAATTTAATCATCAAAAATTGCTGGAAGTCCACTATTTTCATGCCCCTTGGAAAACTACACTGTATTCTACCTGTTGGTCAAATGCAATAGTAAAAGACTAAGGAAGGTGCCAAGACATACAAGCTAGTAATTATCATCAGTAATCTATAATCTAAAATGAAATCAGAAAAGTCAACCAAAGATTGTTTTCAATAGACTAAAGTACAAGTTAGGTTGTTACTTTTGGTATTGTTAGCCTGAAGCACAGCCATCCTTTTTTTTGGATAAGACAAGGCAAATTGTGTAAATACCTAGAAAAAACCTATTTATCTACTTCTCAGCCTCCCTGCATTGACAGAGCATTTACATACAGCTTGCACTGTTTCTGAGGCTTTGAAGATACAAAGAATAAATAATGAGGTCCCTGCCCTTGGGAGTTCACAGTCTATTTGAGAGGTCAAAATATGCACCTTGGAAAGAAATAAAAAATGAGTGCCATAAAAGTGTCCTTTATGCTCTTTTGTGATTCTGGATTCACAATATTATCTTAGAATCTTATATGAGAAATCTCTTGTGAAGACTGCTAAAGGAATGACTCTAGGTTCCTAAGACTTACCTGCTTTGCAAAAACCTTGCACTGGCCTTCAGTAGCTCATGACAACATCCCAAGTCCTTGATTGGGCCTAGGAACCCTGTGACCCAGGCCCCGACCCCCCTATAAAATCCACTTTGTGTACCCTCCCCCAGCATTGCTTTGTACAGTCTAGTTGCATGGGCCTTTTTAGCTGCTTCCAGCCTCAAAAATCCTGTCCCTGCTGCCTAGAGGACTCTCCTCCGCCCTCTTCACCACTTTATTTAGTGAGCAACTTCTCATCCTGTGGATTCAGTTTCAGCATCACTTCCACAGATGCATCCCTGACCTGTTCCCCTCCATATGACAGATGGAGTTCTCTCCTAGTACCTGTATTTTCCCATGATAGCACTTTCCCCAAGTGTAGTTAAGCCATTGTATAGTTAGTTGTCTAACAACCATCTCTGTAATAACCCTTTGAACAATTGTATGTTTAGTTGTCTGACAGCCTTCTCCTAGTGAAGGCAGTGTTAGTCGCTATCTGTCTCATTCACTGCTATATCCCCAGGAACTGAAGTAGAGATTGTCACCTAACAGGTGCAGTGAATACTTGTTGAATGAAATAATAAAACAATGATTGAAAGAACTATAGGAATACCGGTAATTGACATTCAAATGCCCTTAATAATCAGTACTTGCTTTTCTAAAGTGGGAGGGTAAATCTGAATTAACTAAGGCATTTCCTCCATCATACATTCATTCACTCGGCAAAAGCTAATTGAGCACCTACTATGTGCCAGCCACTGTTCTAAGAGCAGAGTATACAATGGTGGAGAAGACAGATGGAAGGAATCCCTTCTTTTTAGCAAGGGAGACAAAAAACCTCACAAACAAATAAAAATATAATTTTAGATAGGAAAGTACTATGTTACATACTATGAAGAAAACTAAAGCTCAGTGAGGGGACAGAAGGGAGAGGAATAGGGTGGGGGTTAAATTATATAGAATGGACAGGGAATTCTTCACTGTGTTATAGGCAGGCTTTAGACAGCCTTGGTAATTCTGAAAAGTTTTCGAAACAATCTCCTGAATAGAAGAGCCCATTAGAGGATCATTGACCCCCAAGCCTTCTTCAGTCTTAAATCTCCACCTGCCCACGGGACAGAATTTCCTTCAAATCAGCACCCAGCCTCAACTCTCCCACCACTACCTGTTTTCCTATTTCACTCCTGCTCCCACCTACCTCCTCTGTCCTGGGGCTTTCTCCTAGCCCCTTCTGACAGCTCTCCGTTGGTCCTCTCTACATCTTGTTTATTTCTCTTTGTTCTGTGTTCCCTCATCCTAGAAGCATCCCCTTTCTCTGACGATTTACAACCTCTAC